AGGCACCAAACCGAAACCAGGAAGTTTCCTGAAATGACCTTCCCTGCCTCACCAGCGCCCTCCTCTCCGCACAAAAAGGCCAGTGTGTGCAGAAAGGTGTTCACTGTCTAAGAATCCTCAGGCTGGGAGGCGGTGGCAGGGGCACTGGCACTCCCTTCCTAAGGCACCGGGGTCCGTCCCAGAGGCCCAGATGGGCGGTGGGGGGCCTGGACCCAGAGCCAAGGCAGGGCAAAGTGCCAACTGAGCTAAACTGAGAATGAACTAGAAACCAAACCTGGAACTTCCGCTACCCATTCCTCTTGACTTACTTTCGACCCTCACACAGACCATCAGGTGCATGAATGCTTGATCATTACATCAAATAATACCACAGCAACGGTGGCAGAAAAAAAATAAAGGGATGGAAACTCCACTGAGGAAAGTGCTGACTGGAAAAACCTTTTGCGTGAAGCCAGGCTGTTGAGCATCCTTTACCAACTCATTTAGGGCTGGAGAGAAAGTACAGGGATAAGACCCTTGCCTGGCACACAGATGATGCAGATTCGATCCCCAGCACCACACAGGGTTCCACACACATGGCAGGAGTGACCCTGAGTACAGGCAGGAGTAAGCCCCGGGTACCACCACATGGGGCCCAACCCTCCTCCCCGCACCATCACTAAAAAAATCCTTTACTGACTCACTGAACTAGCCTAAGGCTTGATATGTTTTAAGGAAATGGTTCAACTCAGAAAAAGTAGATCAGCAGTATTCTTGTTGACAAGTTATGGGAGTTTGAGATCAAAACAGGAAATAAAGAATGATGGGACTGGACCCCATGACACTCAGCCCTGGGCCACTAGAAGTTCCTTTCTCTCTTTAGACTGGTTGGTTCCTGTACACGTCTGGTGAAGAGCTTTTTGTTCTTCCCTTTTTCCTGTAAGTGAGAAAATCCTTTCTGGCTACTTTCTCCAAGAGAAGAAAAGTATTGACGCATGATCCACTAGACTCGGAATCGTCTCATAAAGAGACTCCAGAACTTTTAAATTCCAAATTAGATGTAAAGGTTTCTATGATCTGTCACAAACTAGACCTGCTCAAAGGCAATTAGCAACCACCAAAGATCATTATCGTGTCTGCTCTGAGTGGAAGAACCAAAACCAGGGACATCTCAACCTTGTTCATACCTCAAAACAGGATTCAGGGTCTGGAGAAATAGTATAGCGGGTAAGGTGCTTGTCTTACACGCAGCCAACCTGGGTTCGACAGACTTTGCATGCGCTCCCCTGAGTACAGAGGCAGGAGTAAGGCCTGAGCATCAGAGTGCTGGCCCCCAAACCCAAACTAAAACCAACTAAACAACTAAAAACAGGATTTCGACCAGAGTCTTGAAGGAGCTCCCAATAAACAAAGCTGAAGCAATTTGAGCAAGAAAATGAATAGTGCAGTTTGATAATAATTCACAGAATCAAAGAAATTAAGAGTCATGTATAGTTTTCAAAGTAACGAGATAGTTACAAGTTAATATATAAAAAAGGAATGAGGAAAAACTTTAGATAACTTCAGAATGATTTTCACATACCATATTCACCAATAGATACTAAAATCAGTGGGGACAAGTTAGAGAGAGAAAACATATTTGCAAGGTCTCGGGGTTATCTTCCCCAAGGAATTTATTAATTGCCAATGGGCAAACAGTGACTTTATACTGGAGAAACTTAGCAAACTTCACCTAGTTATCGAGATTAATAAATCACCTAAAAAAATCAATTTCATGTAAATCCTACAGGACATGTTAAGAAGAACATGTAACTTTGGTAGTATTTTGTGTCAAAAAAGTGTATAACCAGGGCTGGAGAGATAGTACAGTGGGGAGGGCCTTTCTTGCATGTGGTCGACCCAAGTTCCATCCCCCGCATCCCTTATGGTCCCCTGAGCACTGACAGGAGTAATTCTTGAGCACAGAGCTAGGAGTAACCTCTGAGTATCACTGGGTGTGACACAAAAAGCCAAAGTAAAAGCATAATGTTGGCCTTGCTCTTCAAGCCTGTGATCTCCCTTGAACACAGATCTCGCTTGCTTGATACTTTGAGGCAGCTCAAATTCTCTTTTGACCACGCACTTCTCCCTTTCTCTCCCATCACACCTTTCTAAATAAGGTTCAATAAAAATGATCTTGCATCTCACACACACAAAATGCACGATCTTAATCTCATCTTGACACATTCTCAGATAAACCCAAATAGGAAGCTCTGCAAAATAACTGGTCCATGGTCTTTGAAAGTGTCAAGGTGACATGACAAGGAAAGATGGAGGGCGGAGCCGGAGTCAGAGCAGTGACAGTACAAGGATGTGGCTAATCCAGGTTGGACCCACAGCACCCCACGTGATTCCCCAAGCCCCACCAGGAGGGATCCCTGAGTGTAGAGTCACGAGTAAGCTCTGAGCACTGCCCGGTGTAGTCCAAAAACAACAAAAAAAGACAGAGGACAGATGACAGATCAGAGACTAATGAAACAGGCCCATGAACATTATGTTGGGAAAAATGGTGATATCTGAATATGGTATGCAATTTATAAAGCCCCACAGCCTGTAATTAATAGTTATCACACCAGTGCTGATTTCTCAGATTTGTCTGACGGTTATAAAAGATTTTGATAATACAGAAAATAGGGTGATGGGGATAAGGAAATCTCAGTGCTATTTTTTTTTTTTGGTCATTTTTATAAGTCTAAATTGTCTCAGGAGAAAGCCCTGTGGCATTAAGGAAGTCACACATCGAACCCTCCTTCTCCATTCCCTCACCCTCATCTGCTGCTGACCTGCCTCCTAAAACATCACTAATCTATCTCATCTCCTATTCCACCATCTCTTGCTCAGTCCAACTTCTGATCATTTTCCTGCCAGGTTAGTTCAGTAACTTCCTAATATGACTTTCTGGCTTGAAGTACTTTGGCAGTGAAGCTACATTAATAACCCACATGAGCCAGTGGAGTTTCATTAAACAGAAAGCTCGGATTCTCTGCACTTGGAAACTCCCAGACAGTGGAAGGTCAGAGCAATAACCTGGGAGGCTTCTGCTTCTTCCACGTTGTCCCTGAAATCACCTTTGATGACTAGTTCTCGCAGTCAAAGCCCTCTGTGAACCTACATCAGTATATTCATACTCCTCTGCATCCTTCTTTTCAAATGCAGTCTCATTTACTTTCATGTAAATACCAGACACAAGTGTTTCACTACAAAAAATAAAACAAATATTTTAAGGCGTATCTACATAAGCATAGTTGCATGGAGCCAACTTTATGATGCTTATTGATAATCCAAGGCCGTCAGAAATTTCCAAACTGAAATTAAGAGAAATGCCGAAAACCACATATTTGTTGAGTACTTCAGGGATGCTGGTCACTGCCATCCAAATTTTCCATGTATTACTTTCATCCTTAAGCAACTCGTCATAGATATTTTTTTAATTTAGCATTTCTTTTTCATTTGTGGTGCCAGAGATCAAAGTTATGCTTTGCCGATGCCAGGCATGAACTTTACCACGTAAGCTATTCCCCAACTTAAAGTCGTTTTATGACAGTCGTTTTATGCTGCTGGGGCTGGGGTTTGCTCCTGACAGTACTTAAAGGACCAAGTGGTGCCTGGACCCCTTCTGGCAACCCTTTGAGGTACCTCTCTGCCCCCTAAACTCATTTTAGATTGGAAAGACAAAATTTAAATAGCATGCCTATATTAACACAGTGAGTGGCAAAATTGAGATCTGAATTTTGGTTATTTGATTCCATAAACTCCTTATGTACTTCATTGTCTTCTGTCCTGGTAGGCATATTTATATGATGTTAAAATTGGTGAAAAAGGTATATACATCATTATACTAATACTAAAATGCTGCTGCTACTGTTACTACTATTTATTTCACCTAGAATTTATTTCTCCTTTCCTTTAAGTGGCCTCTGGGTAGGCATATGTTTTCCTGTTGAATTCCCCTAGCTGTCCTATGAGTTGATTTTATGCTGTTCTGTCCACGGAGTACTAGTTATGAGTAGTCAAACTGCCTGAGTTTGAAGCAATGACTTTGTAGCTCAATGTCCTTATGACTACTAGTGTGAGGATTTGATGAGATACACAAAGCTCAAGTATACCATACAGGAAGCTAAGATGAGCAAAAAAAAATAAATTAATAATAATAATAATAATAATTTGGAGCGGTAGGGTTGGAGCACAGCGGTAGGGCGTTTGCTTTGCATGTGGCCGGCCAGGCGACCCGTGTTCTATTCCTCCACCCCTCTTGGAGAGCCTGGCAGGCTACTGAGGGAATTCTGCCCGCGTGGCAAAGCCTGGCAAGATCCCCGTGACATACTCAATATGCCAAACACAGGAACAACAAGTCTCACAATGGAGACGTTACTGGGCCCGCTCGAGCAAACCGATGAGCAACGGGAGGACAGTGCAGTGCAGTGCTACAATAAATAAAAAATATTTTGATGACACTAACTTGTTCTCTCAGCATGGTCCTTCATTAGAGATGAGAAATCCTTCAAGTATCAATTCAAAAAAGAATCTAAATATGTGACTTTTAACACATCAGTCATCACACTAAACATTACACTAAAGTTTAAGATCTGGTCTACTGCTTTGAGCATTTTTCATTACAGTTTTTTAAAAAGTGTATTCTAAAAAAATATTTCTATGGGGACTGGAGAGATAGTACAATGGGTAGGGCACTTGCCTTGCACACGGCTGACCTGGATTTGATCCCCAGCATTCCAAGCCCACTAAAGAGTGATTCTTGAGTTCAGGGCCAGGAGTAACCCCTGAGCACTGCTGAGTTTGGCCCCCAAACAAACACAAAACCAAAAAGTTATCGGAGCTAAGTTATTGACCTCTTAGAGACTTTTGAGTTTGAAAACTGCCATTAAGATGTTCGGCCTCTCCTTCCTTCTCTCACTAGTCTGAATGGCGAAATCTCAGGCGCAGTTCCCTCTGCCAGCCCTCAGGACCTTGCCCGGGGCTCTTACCTGTGCTTCAGCCGAAGCTTAACCCCTCCTGCCCAGGCTGCCTTCCGGTGCTCGGGGCCGGAGTCGGGGACGCCAGGATCTGCAGAGTCAGGGGCTGCACCCGCATCTCTGGAAAACACAGGGGAAAAAGAAACTGAGTACGATGGAGTAGAATGGGGTCGGACAGAGAGACAGAGACAGAGAGACCCACACAGGTGCAAGCGCACATACTCCTGAACAAAAGAAATGCATGAGAGTAACCCTGAGGCTACAGCTACACTGAGTCTCCGAGCCCAGTGGCTGGGAGAGGTTCTGTGCCCTAACAAAGTCAGCCCAGCTGCAGGCTGTCGGCATCTCCTTCCCTGACTATGTTTCCATGAAGCAGTAAGTGCATTTCCAGGTCCGAGGAGGCCAGGCTTTCCAACCAAGAGGGAGAGGTTAGCTCTTCTGAAGGAGAAACCCCTATGATTCCATCACTGGGTATGAATAAGGAAGACCTTGGGCTGGGGAAGGCATACCAAAGAGATGAAGCTCGTGCTTTGCATGTGGGACATCCAGGTTCGATTCCCAGAGCCACGTGCACCTCCTCCCAGCCCCCGGGAGCAACATAAGAGCACCAAGTCAGGAGTAGCTCCTGAGCACTACTAGGTATAGATTCAAAATCACCCTTCCTCACTCCAAAAAATGAGATCGTTCCTTGGATAATTCCATTCCCATCACTCCCATCTGCCATACTCCAAGCCCCCCACAGCATGGCATTCCCCTGTGGGAACAGGTACAGTTCTGCTCCTGAGGCGACTCTCAGCTCTTAGCTCCAGGACTTCCAGAAGCCCTGACTGCACCTTAAAAGCATCGCCTCCCTTGGCTTCCCTTTGCAAGGTTCTGAAGTGGGTTTACTGTCATTGAGCAGGGCTGGCTTTCGGGAATGCGGGGCGGGGTGGGGGGTGCTGTGTCTGTCTTCAAGGCTCTAACTAACTCTGAGAGTTCAGATGGACCCTGGGCATGCCTTAGAGGCAGGACTTTGAAGACCCAGAAAACTGCCATTTCTCTCTGTGTGGGCCTTGACAGAGAGGAACTGTGATTACGTGTCAGGGGGCTGTAGTTTTTAGCGGTGTTAGAACATTGTGGGATAGGCACGGGATTAAGGTGCCCTCTCACATGCAGATAGTCAAGCCCAGTTCAATCACTGGCACACCATATGGACTCAAGGAGCCCCTGAGCCGTGTTGGCCCAAGTCACGAGTCCCCTCTGCAGTACAGAGAACACGGCTGAAGAGGACTAAGGAGTCTCCGCCACTAAAAGGACAATGTCATCTTCTCCTCTTAACGACAGTTATTGCATCTCTCTCTCTTGATTTCGCCCTGGATTTCAGCTTCTTGGTTGTGAAGAGAGCTGGTCTCCCTCTAGACCTGAGGTCAGCAGAGCTGGCTGAGGTTCTAACGTCACTCAAGAACTGCATGATGTTGAGCGAATCCGCTCTGGGCCTTGGGTTCCTCCGAGAGTGGAACTAGCGGCAGGGCCCCTGAGGGTGAGCGCATGTAGCTCGCCAACCAGCTCTATGACTCAATTCTCTCACCTTGAAAACGAACATGAAAAAAAAAAAAAAGAAAAGTCTTTTCTGGGCGAAGGATCTGGCTGGAGTGTCAGTGCCCGGGCCAGCGTGCGCTCTGACGCGGTGTCCAGCCAGGCGGGGCTGCCACTGCCCCCCTCCCTTCCAGCCCCCCCTCCCCAGAACTGCTGGCTGTGGCCCTCTTGAAAAAACACCAACAAAAACCCGCTTTCACAGGGTTTTTTGAAACCGAAATAAACTCATTTAGGACAGGCACTTAGAATAGAGCCTGACACATGCTCAGTACCGGGCAAATTAGCTGCTATTATTCTAGCAATCTTGCAGAGCTGCTACAAAGTCTAGCTAACGTCCACGAGCTCTCTCGCACACCGCCGGCACCTGGCACGTGCCCAATAAACTGGCAGGGCCGGAGAGACAGCCCAGCAGGTAAGATGCTCACGGGCAAACCCGGGTTCAACCCCCAGCATCCCATATGGTCCCCCATGCACCGCGAGGAGTAATTCCTGAGTGCAGAGTCAGGAGTAAACCCCTGAGCATTACCAGGTGTGGGCCAAAAACTAAGAAAAAAGAAAGGCTAAATAAAATAAAACAACTGAAAGTCTTTTCCTGGTCTCAACCCTCATTTCAAAGCTCAGTTCCGTTAAGAGGTTGATGCAAAATTGACACAGCTGAAAAGTCTCCAGGTGTGCTAGAAATAACAGGAAGGAGAGCACTGGCTAGAGGGCCGACACCTCAAAGCCTTTCACGGAATTCATGGTGTGCACACCCCCCCTCACCCTGAATCCTCATACAACCCCTAGAGGGACCAAGCCCTGTGGCCATATGGCTTCAACCGAAGCTGCAAGAAGATGGTATGAATGTCTGAACGCACCCAGGGGCAGCCACCGGGATAATCCACCCAACAGCACAGCTTCCCCGCCCAGATCCTGGCCGGCCCTGACACCCTGCCGATGGGAGCAAAGGCCAGTCTGCACTTTCACTCGGCCTCTGCACCACTGCAGAACTTCCTCATTGCTGGCCTCGGCCACAGGGCTGGCTCCCGGCCACACGGTAACTGAGTCCCTTCCTCCCACCAGACAGACCCAGGGCCACACGGACGAGCAGGAAGAACAGGCAAATGGGAAGGAGACGGAAGCACGAGGGGCAGGCGGTCCCCTCCCGTTAAGAGATGTTCGTGCGCCTGATTCCTACCAGTGCAAACGTTGCCCACCGCCACAGGCGAGCTAGCAACCGGTGCCAGCTGCCGATGGCAATCCCCAGGGCTGAGTCACCGTCTCCTCGTTAATCCTAACCTCCCCACCCAGGCAGGAGGCCAGGTAGGCGAAGGGCAGGACAAAGCAGAGCACACCTGTTAGAACTGAAATTCTTCCGGAAAGGGCCAGACCACCACAACCAACCCCTGTGTGCGAAAGGAAAGAACTCTGTGGTGTGACTGAAAAACAGTGTAGGATGAGTGTCGGGAGGGAGGTCTATCACCTCAGAGACCACCCCCCGACCCCCCACTTTGGGATGGTTCCCTGGCCATTTGCAGATGGAGCACAAGTGACTCACAGGCACACAAGTCCACCTCCTCAGTACTGGGCAACCCACTAAGGAGCCAGCTACAGGCTCTGCACTTATCAAGAAACTCGGTGGAATCGGGCTCACAGCAGACTCGCCTTTCCCTTCCAGTTCAGCAGTTCCTGTGATTTCTCAGTTTAGGTCACAGATTCTGGCATCTTTAGAATTCATATCCCAGATTTGACCAGGACGGAGGAAGCACAATGATGACGGGGCCATGGATAAAGCATGTTTTCGAATGACCTTATTTTTACTCAAGACTCAGAGTCGAATCGATTTGCTCAAAGGCACCTCAAGATTTATACTGTAGAAACCCTAGAATCAATGACCCCACGTCCAGTGGACCAAGCTGGGGTGGGGATGCGGGGCACTCCAGCTCGAAGCAGCGCTAAAATTCCAGACCTTGAAATGACCCCCTGGCCTGGCTGATGCACACTCAGTCCTCAGGTTCTGTCTGGACATCACGTCCTCTGGGGTCAAGTTGGGGGCGGTGCCCATTCCTGAGAACCAAGCAGGGCTCCTGGAGGTGTCCATTTCCGAGTGTGGTCCCCCAGTGTCCGACCTCTCGTGGAGGTCGTGGCCGCTCAGAGAAAGCAAGCAGGCTGGCAGCTTGGGTCTTAGCTCAAAGAGCAACTCGGTAAATATTCATAGAATGAAGTACTATAAAGTATTTAATAGATCTCTCACCGTCTCTACTATATGACCTTGTAATTCATAAGAGAACATGCTGGAAAAACCAATGAGACTTTGGGGGGGGCAGTTTTTATATTGTTTCTTTCTGTTCTTCAGTCTTTGATATCATGAACTACCAGTGATGAAGAAGGAATCAAAGCTGGCCCAAGAAGGGTTAGCAGTGGGGGCGGAGCGATAGTTTGCCTTGCATGCAGATGACCTGGGTTCGTTTCCTGGCATCTCATATGGTCCGCCAAGCACTTCCAGGGAAAATTCCTGATTTCTGGGCCAGGAGTAACCCTACATATTGCCTGGAGTAGTCCACAAACAAAACAAACAAAGGTTTAGCAGGGACAAAATAAAAAACACTAATATCAAATACTAGGAAGTTGTGCATTGGTTAGGGCACAAGACCTGGTTTGATCTACAGCATCTCACAACCTCACCAGGTACAGACTCCCAGCACCATCACCAGCATCTCTACCAGGTATAGACTCCCAGCATCCACACCAGCATCATCGCCAGGTACAGATTCCCAGCATCCACACCAGCATCATCACCAAGGGCAGCCTTAGACATGGGACCCAGGCAATCGCTGGCATCACAAAACCCTAGCAGCAACCCTTTCTTGGGCTCTAGCATTAAAGTGTTGTCCCAGCTGGCCAAGAATAGCCAGAAGTGGCCAGGGGCCAGTGTGCCCTGAGGACCACTTGGGAGAGCGTTCATGCCCCCTCCCCAACACACAAGCAGAACTACTAACGTTATTCTTCCCCAAAGAGTTGGGAAACAAGAAATCCAGATGAGGTCCCATACATTTCTACTTCCTAGTCCTCTCCCTGTCCTCTCCTTGCTTTACTATTTGGTATTTTAATAAAGGTGTTTCCTGCTTTCTGAGATAATTCTGAACCAGCTCAAGGAAGAATTTGGAACATTTCTGTTCCTGGGCTGTGTGAGAAGTGAGGAGAGAGAGGGGAGCTGTAGGGGAACGGGGGGCAGGGGGTGTTGAACTGAGCTGAGTGGGACTCCCCAAAGGTCCAGATCTTTTGAGATCCTGGTTTCTATCAAGTTAGTTTTATTTTTCCTAATTTTTAAATTTTTATTTGAGGCATCCTGACCTACAATACCGTGATAGTGTTTCAAGCGTGTTTTAGTTTCTTCTGAGCAGGCAGACAGGCGGAATCATGTCCCTGGGCAAGACTGATGCCCAAACCACGTTCTCGGTTCATCTGTAAGGTCAGCAGTTTCTGCCTTTCCAACGCACTCCACCTGGTAGAGAACGGCTTTCTCACCGGCCACTCCACCCTTCTCCCTCCAATCCGGCATCTCT